TGTCGATAATCCCACAAGAAGTGGGCCCGTTAGGGCTTGAAGAAGGTCCGATTTTGTGGACGCCCGTATTCGAAATCATATGCAATCACGTGGGGTCCGCTTCGTTCTTTCTACACGGTAGAGAGAGAGGAGATGATTACGTTTATCCCGGTTTGCTAAAGAATTCCTCCGCGGATAAGAATTGTAACGTGCTTTTGCTCGAAGTGGAGCCTAGGCATCAAAGTGAAGGAGGGAAACTCACGTATAGCAAGAGCTTTGCTCGTGAATTGGATAACGAGGTTTCTTTGTCGAATAAGCTATCAAGATCGTGTAGTGGGAGGGTTTCTAATTCGAAGTCGCAGAAAATGCCCTTTAGCCGTTTGGGTTTTGGCGATCGAAGGAGGCTACTCGATGTTGTTACGAGTCAAATCCGAAATATTGTTCCGAAAGAAGCAAATGTGATGTTGTTTCCTCGCTCGAAGAACGATTTTGGGGTCTTGTACGAGAGGAGATTGTTGCTCTTGCAAATGTACGATGAAGAATCATCGTCGCCTTTTAATCCCACCGAATTAGGATCGAGCGACGTGTGCAAAAGCCTCGAGTGTACTACTACTACTACGAGTGTGGATCAATGCCACGTCACCAAAAGCAAGACCCTCTCGGGATTTCTAAAGAATGGGCTCAAACACATATTAAGGAAATCAAGCGTCGATCAAGAAAGTCAGAAATCAACTTCTTCTTCTTCGAGATGCCAGAGTAAACTCCACGAATTTCTTCGATCGGGAGATAGGGTTGGATTGAGTTTACGAGCCGCAACTATGAAACTATCTTATTACCGAGCGTGGCCCAATATGCACGACAGTCGGTTCGCTCTCTACAAATTACCATTACACCCCTCCAATGCATGCGACGAGTATGCAGGTTTGTGGGGGGCCACTTTCGGTTGGCCCCCGGGGCGGAAATCCGAGGAAAAACCCGGAAAAGCCCTTTTCTTGATTTTGATATCTTACGAAGAATCGGAAGGGGAGAAGCTTATGATTGGTACAAAGATATTGGAAGGCACTTCGTACGTATTGCATCCTAATGGATCGGCTATGTTTATTGTGAACGTAAATCAACCGTCTATGGAATTATTTCCGATCGAGAGTGATGGAGAATCGAATTATATTGAAGTTAAAAGGTCGTTTTCGGGAGAAGGTGTTGCGAATGGGTACGGGTTTAGATATCCGGGTTCGAAACCGGGCTCGCTTTTTGTTCTTGAAAACGGATTGCTCGTTTTTATGTGGAAGGAGTCAAGGGTCGTGTTGACTTTGCAGAGGCTCGATTTGGGGGAGCTTTTGAGGAAAGGGGAAAGAGTGAATTCTTTGTCGCCGATTTCGAATTTTGCGTATTTGACAAAGACGTACTCGAACGTTTACTCGGGATTTTGAAATTTTCTTGAAAATAGGCGGCGCTCTATTTTTTTCCTCCAAGGTATGCTTCTTTCTACGTTTAATTGTCTGAGTTGAATACGGCGAATAATTGTAAGTAAGTTCGTTGTAGTTATAAAATGCTGTTCTTCCATCTATATTAAATGACGGTAATTCGTGTATATTTTGTGACAGGATTTTTTTTTTTTGCTGCTGGTGCCAAACGAAGAACTGTGTCGTAGATGGATGAAAGAGGTTCGATTATTTCGATATATTCTTTCGACTGTGCTGACTGAGTTTTGGTAAAATGCATTGGAAAAGAAACATTTGTATAACCATTGTGTTTGGGGTTGTTAAAGTCTGATGTTTATAGACACAAATTGATGCTGAAAAAGAGTGATTTATTTGAGAAATGATTGAGTTTGGTTAGTAATATATTACTCCAGTTTTTTTGGGAAAAATTACGAAAAAAACCCCTGAATTTGGGTTGAATAACGAAAACACCATCACCTATCCGTAATTATCAAAACTCGCATGATGTTTGTTTCCGTTTTACACTGCGCCCCCCTTACTGTGTGATT